TGCTGCCACTGCTTCTGCTACCGCAGCTACACTAATATTTTTAAGCACGCTTGTTCAGTCAGAGCTAGCACAAGTATGTCTACTGGAGCTGGGAATCACACCACTAGCTCCAAGTATAGACATAACCTTAGTGATATTGCAATAATTTCAATGGTGAGGAGATATAATGGTATAAACCTGCCAGTCACAACCTAGATTTTGTAATACCATTGTAAATACATCTCTGATGTCACTAACACGACTGCATAAATCACTGAATGCAACAGGCCCAAGGGGATGTTAGCAATGGGGTTACATTGTGGAGACATGGTCCTGATTCTCTACTATCTTGCATCTTGTAGAGTCATTTACACTTGTGCAAAGTGGAATATAGTTGTACCACTCTGACTGCGTAGCATTTTGAAAGGAGACTCTCTGCCCCGTGTTGATTGGCTGTTTGCTCCACCCCCCTCCCTCACACAGTCCCTGCACCTCAGCCGCATTCCACTCTTGCCCCTCATACCTTCTTTACTTCCTCCCCTCTCTGTTTTCCCCCGCCCTGTCCCTTTCACCCCCCCGCTTCACTTTTCCCTTCTGTTTAGAAAATCCCCTCTTAACTGAACCCCTCCAAAAGGAAAAACATAAAAGTAAAATTGTGGAATTTACTTGCCATTTGCTGCCATCACACTGATCACCCAGTGTGTGTCTTGCCTATTTAGATTATAAGCTCTTTTGGGTAGGGAATGTCTACAAATGTGTTTGTACAGTGCCTACCACAATGCGGCACTAACCTAATGATAAAAAAAATAATAAAATGTTATACTAACTCTGAAAAGGTGTCAATGCCTCCACAAGGTACAAGGCAGTGGAGAGTCAAGCCCAAGGTGCTTTATAATATAAAATCTGTATGACGACAAAGTCCCTGCCCATAGGACAGATCCCATGTTAGGGGTTAGCAATGTAGGTGTCTACAAAAAGTGCTAAATTTCCCCCAAACTACTTTACAGAAAACAGGAAGGATTTCAGCACTCTGTACAGTTTGTCTCCCTAACTCTTTAGCAAAAGCTTCCTTCCCCTTCTGCAACAGGTTCCCTGTGGCCCCTGGAACATGGGGCATGGGTTTGAAAAAGGGAGGAGACCCTGAGTTTGGATCCCAATTCCCCTCATAGCTAACCCCAAGACAGAGGATTAGAAAGGAGGGAGAAGTGCCCAAGAGCTGAAGTTCCTGCAAAACTGGGAAATAAGTGAGGGCAAAGAGAGAAAGGAGGAGGATTAAATGAAAAGTCAGAGAAGGAGACTCAGGGAATGTGGAGAGGGCAGTTGGGATGGGAGAGAGAGAGCACCTGGGGTAAGAAAGAGAGAGAAGAAAATAATTAAGAGGGAAGAGATGACAAATGTGGGTAAAAAAGAAAATAAAGGGAAAATATAGAAAGTATGAAGAAAGAATGGGAAAGTAGTAGAACAACAAGTTTTCTTTTCACTTCATTTATATCTCTCCATGCTAAACTATGTTTTATAGGCATCCTTTAAGGAGCTGATTGGTTATTTTAAATAAGTATTTACACACCCACAGCTGAAATAGTTGCCATTTTTTTCCAGACTGAGTCAGAGGCTAGGAGGCCAGGCTCCGCCAGTCTAAATTAGACACGATACCGAAAAGGGGTATAATACAAAGTCATCTGATATTCATTTGGCTCACATTTTATATATTATTTTTTGTTAATTCAACTGAGCTCTGTATACAGGAAAGAATTTGGCACATACTGGAAAGAATCTGGCACACTAACCACTAGGCAGTCCTATTTGCAGTCCCTTTAAACACTCTTCCTATCCACGCATAAAAGTGCTCCCACCTTTGCATTGGTGTTTCAACTGAACTTAGGATGAGACTTGCTTTGTGCAAATCTAACTACCACATAATCCTCTACTGTTTCAGTATGGATGGAGATTGTATCATTGGGGCTGCTCCATCAGCTGTCTTTTCACAGCATCCTAGTCACTATTTAGTGTTCCTGCCTAATCACCTCCCATGGCTGAGTTGGCCAGAGGCCACTTACCTGTACAGACAGTGCTGCACACTACAGATCTCAGTTGCAAGTCATTTTCACGGTGAACAATTTTTACCACAATCTTATATTGAGATGGCTCATCTTATTAGGCTGATGCTCAGGCACTGGTGTCAATCTGGGGAGAGGAGATTGAGAGCCAGTTGAACAAAATAATGCTCAATACTCTGGAATGTGACCATTTAGCCAAGCAACAGGCAGAAATGGGCACCATCAGGAGCATCAAGCCATGCTGTAAGAAGACAAAAAGGGTCTGGATTTCATGACCTCAAGGTCCCCTCCAGACCTACATTTCTATGATTTTATGATTCTATGAAAAGGACCTGAAGTCCAGCTCATGATTATAATCATCAATCAGGACGGGAGTGAGTAATTTAGCCACTGTTTGAGATGCTGGGTGAAATCCCAGGATCCACCTCTCCATTCAGCCAGATATCCTACTACAGTGGTTCTCAACCAGAGGTCCAGGGCACCTTAGGGGGCCACAAACAGGTTTCATAGGGTTCACCAAGCAGGGCCAGCACTAGACTCACTGGGGCCCTCAGCAAAAAGCTGAAGTCCCACTACATGGGGCTGCAGCCCAGGGCCATGAGCTCGCCACATGGGGCTGAAGCCAAAGGCTGAGCAATGTAGCTTTGGGGGGGGGGGACCCTGTGGCATGGGGTCCCAAACAATTGCCCTGTTTACTACCCCCTAACGCCGGCCCAGGCTTTTATATGCAGAAAACCAGTTGTTGTGGCACAGATAGGCTGTGGAGTTTTTATAGCATGCTGGGGAGGGGGGGGGGGTTCAGAAAGAAAAAGGTTGAGAACCCCTGTCCTACTAGATGCCATGGAAACACCTTGTGGTCTGATCAGTAGGGATGGGCAGCCCAGGTGGATGACAAGCCAGAATAGATTATGCCCCTTACACTGCTGCATTCGCAGGATTTCCAGACAGATCCAAAATTCTAGCTGCAAACTGCACAGACCCACAATCCTGCCCATGGCAGCTGAGCGGGTTTAACAGGAGAAAGAACCGGGGGCTGAGCGGTTATATAGCGTTTTGATTTCTCATATACAGCTGGGAGCTGATTTTTCATATTTGGGGGCAGGGGAAGAGTTTTCTTGGTTCTTATGAATGTTGCCATTAGCATCTGTGGCAAGGACCCACTACCGGGTCATGACAAAAGCACTGACCTATCCTCTACTCTACTAGCCTCACTCTACTTCTTATTTCTTTCTACCTCTCATTAGTGCAGTGGGAAGAGCTGGTTCCTGCACACCTGTTTCAATTTTCAGAGTCTTGCATCTCCTTCAGCTCTTCTTTCTGGCTGCATGGCCAGTGTTCCAAGTCAGGGCAGAAGTGCTGAACTTAACATACAGAATGGCTGGCTGAGCTATGTCACATGTCCAGTCTCAGAATGGTGGACAAATGAGGGGTGGAGGAAAATCAGAAAATAACAGAGCAGCTGAAACAGGAGAAAACAGGAGAGTTCTATTGGAAGAAATTCCCCATAGGGTACTATGGCCAATGCACAAGTTACATTTCATCTGTTGGCCCACATACCAGCCTACTCACCTAGATAGTACATATGACTCTTACCTACCTGAAAACACATTTCATTTGGTCTTGAAACGAAAGATGCATAAAAAGCAGTCCTAAATAAATTCCTTCTGTCTCACTAATGTTTTTAAAGCAGAACAAGACACATGTGATAATCAAGCTGATGGGTGGCTCACTCAAGCCAAGAGAGTGGTAGGAAAAAAGACAACAAGCTAAGTGAGATATCTAATAATTCCAGGCCTTAAATTGCCCCCGTTACTCCAGTTAGTCTATGGATCTCCACAAGTACTGCCCTCCACCAAATCACCACTATTACTGGAGATGCCTCACAAGTACCTTTTGGGAGCTTCAGCAGAAACCTTATTTGCCAAGCAAGGAAACAACAGAGTTTATTCAGACTTCCATTTTGAGAGTGGGATTTACAGAACTCTTCCAGGGGATTAAGGGAGTTTGATTTATTCTCAAATTATGCCAGAAGGTTTTCCAAAATCTCCCACAAGCCACTGCTTTAGGAAGCTGTGCTGCGGACTGTGGGCTACAAACAATGCCACTACAACTGTGAACACCTCGGATGGTAGACAACAAACCTGAACCCGCCTGGCTTGCCTTCACACTGTACCACTGATACATACACTGGTGCTAACCCACCAGTTAAATGCCCTACTGTAGACCACGTTAGAGGCAGAAGAGAATGGAGTCAATTTTTATATGACTATATTTGGAGAACGGTAAAAGTTTTTTTAAAGTTCAATTAATAAATTGTTTTCAATGGGTTTGTGTAACTAAATGACTATTAGTTTAACATTGTCAAGTGTTTGAACTGAATAGGAGTACTTGTGGCACCTTAGAGACTAACAAATTTATTAGGAGCATAAGTTTTCGTGGGCTACAGCCCACTTCTTCGGATGCATATAAAATGGAATGAGGAGATATATATACACACATACAGAGAGCATGAACAGGTGGGAGTTGTCTTACCTCTCAGAGTTGATAAGACAACTCCCACCTGTTCATGCTCTCTGTATGTGTGTATATATATCTCAATATATGTTCCATTCTATATGCATCCGAAGAAGTGGGCTGTAGCCCACGAAAGCTTATGCTCTAATAAATTTGTTAGTCTCTAAGGTGCCACAAGTACTCCTGTTCTTTTTGCGGATACAGACTAACACGGCTGCTACTCTGAAACCTGTTTGAACTGAGACAGGCAATTAAGTGGAGGTACGATTCAAATTTTCTCAAATTCCTTTGAGAGTCATAAGGTTCCATTCAAAAATAAAAAATTTCCTATTATATAATGTTTGCAAGTAAATCTTGATAGAGGCTCAGACAGGGTAACACTTTGTGTATTCATTTGCTCTTTCTTTCTTAGTTAAGTCAACAGAAGGGCAAGTTGAGTTCTGTGAATTCTTCTAAGTCATGAGGTTATATTTGCGTTCCTGGAGCTGGAAACATGCATTAATATACAACAATACACAAAGCCAAGGCATACATATGTTCCACAGGGGAAGAGGAAATAAGTTTTAAAGTACTCACAATCTCATGCAGATCGATAATTAATAACTTTACATTGTGAAAGACTTAAAGTTGCTAAATACTTCAGTGCATTTTAATCTTTGCACTGTAAAATGATTATTCATCTTTTAATGATAAAGGTCAAAAGCAGGTATCAATTATTTTCATTTGTATAATTTCCCCTTTTCAAGTACCTAAAGTAAAGAGCAGAGCAAGAAATGTTGACTTTCCTTGAATGTTGTTAGCAAATGATTATAAAAAGAAGATGTAACAAAAACAGAGAGAATAAGTAGTTAAAGCTGCTGGGCTGAGGTGGACACCCTAGCCTTGGGCTATCCAGCCCCAGTTGTCTGCTTAAGAAATGTGGCTCCACCTCAGCGCAGTGTTGAGTGGACTCAAAGTAGTTGTGTCCCAAGAGAGCACAACTACACTTGAGTGAAGATTAAGTCACCCTGTGGTTCATCAGCTTGTTGATGAATTAAACTGGATGGTACCGACATCAAGCACATTAGAGGCACACCCTTTACTTTTAAATCTGACTCTTACCCTATGTGTCCAGGAGGCACAAACTGCTTGGTGATGAATTGCAAGCTTTATTCCTGTTTATTAAAGCACAACTTTAATTTATTCCAACATCTAAGGGCGCATTGTTACATTCGTAGATTGAGTATGCACATAGTATTTTTACCACTACAGTAGTTTTAAAAGAAAGCTGTGTCTGTAATTAAGCATATGTAGTCTTTCAAATGAAGTTAAATACAGCCTTTTGAATTACTTTAAAAACTATGACTGTATATAGTAAGGTGTCTTTTAGTAGTGAACTTGAAACAAATGATAAATACTATACATTTCCACTAATAAAAGGATAAGTAGTTTACAATTAAGGCAGTGTATAAAAGGAGAAGGTCTTTCAAACTTTTTAAAAAAGTGACAAGGACACTTACATTATTCTTTAACAAGAATTTAACTGCTGATAAAAATAGCAACTGGGGCTGCCTATTGCATAACCACATCAGATATTTCTCCCAAAAGGCCTAAAAACTCTAGGAAGGGTCAACATAGATAACAAATCTTAAAATCTAAACAAAAAGTGGAGCACTAAAAACACATCCATGAAATTTATCTCTGAGTCAATTTACATATAAAATCATCAGGATTGGGTCTCTCTCTTCATACCTGTCTGACGTGCCCAGTACAATTTCTATTTAGATCTTAGATATGCCTAAGGCACCTAAGCACTGTACAAGCGCTATGAATCATTGAGTATGAATGAACACAAGTCACATCTCAATCTCCTCCCTCCCCCTCAACACACACTTGTTTTTGTTGTTGTTGGCACTAGATAATCTCCCTAGTATCAGAGCATGTCACAATCTCAAGCCCACTACTCTGACTCCCTGTTTGTTTTAAGACTACCCTAAGTTTCAGATTTTTGTTTCCAGGTAGCAGAATATCTCATTCACTGACCTTCTGCTCAGTTTTGAATGAATCTCCACTTGGTGTGTAAGACTTTCCAGGTGCTTTCTGTAACCTATCTCTGACTTCCTAACCATTTCTGGGCTCCTCTCCCTGTGATCTTGACAATTTGAGTGTTGCTTCTTCACTTGGTTCCAGATGGTTAGGGCAGTACATCTCCATTTCCAAAACCCATTCTCAGTCTTCAGATTTCAACTTTATAATTTTATTTAAACTATGACTGATCATAAAAACCCTTTCAGAAGGGACCTGATCATCATATCTAGAGAGGACCCACTGCACTGGCCACCTTCTGGGATTACCTCACCACTGCAACCTGGCTCCTTGCTCATGAGAGAAGTTGGAAGCTCTTTAAGATTATGTATATACAGTAACTAGATACCTGTGGCTGGCTCAGGCTGCAGGGCTGTTTCATTGCTGTGTAGACTTCTGGGCTCAGGTTGGCTCCCAGGCTGTAGGATCCTGTGGGGTGGGAGGATCCCAGAGCTCGGGGCTCCAGTCTACACAGCAATGAAAACAACACCACAGCCCGAGCCCCACAAGCCCAAGTCGGCTGGCACAGGCCAGCTGCAGGTTTTTCTTTGCTGTGTAGACAAACCCTGAGAGCCCTCCCCCACCCCCAGATGGGACATGCTGTCCATGGTAATCATTTTAGATGTCAGCTAATTTTAGTATAATTGAATTTAGTAACATTTGTGCTCCCTATTGGGGTTGGAGGTACTGGCATTTATTAATTTTAGCTGAGAGACCAAAGAATGGTGTTAGGCAACCATTTATCTGACACAAAGATTCCAGCCTACATGGTATTTACTCCTTACTCCTGTTCAAATGTATGTAAGCCCATTAGAAGGCACAATGTGAAAACATGGGCTATGATAAGGGCCCGACCAAATTCATGACCATGAAAAACACATCACGGACTAGAAAAACTGGTCTCCCACCATGAAATCTGGTCTTGTGTGCTTTTACCCTATATTATACAGATTTCACAGAGGAGACAAGCGTTTCTCAAATTGGGGGTCCTGACCCAAAAGGAAGCAGGGGGAACGCAGGGTTATTTTAGGGGGGTTGCGGTATTACTACTAGCAATGTAAAAGTTTACCAGGTTAACCGATAAAATTGATGCTTATTGGTTTCTGTTAGTGATTAAACTCTGCTTGTGGTCCTGGCTGCCGGCCCCGAGTGCCCCCAGGGTCCTGGCTGCCAGCCCTCCACCCGGCATCCTGGTGTGCCCAGGGCTCTGCTGCTGCTCTGCGCAGAGCCCTGAGCATGGGGCCAGCAGTGGAAACCCACCTAAAATGTGGGGGTATTGCAGCACCCCCCGCATCTCTGTTTAAATGTTTAACTGTGTAACAGATAGAATTTTAATCAGTTACACGGTTATTGCTTTTACATCCCTAATTACCACCCTTATTTCTGCTCTGCCTTCAGAGCTGGGTGGCCAGATGCCCGGCTCTGAAGGCGGCACAAGCACAGAAGTAAAGCTGGCAGTACCATACCATGCCACCCTTACTTCTGCGCTGCTGCCTTAGGAGCTGGGAAGCTAGAATGGTGGTTGCTGACTAAGGGCCCAACCCTGCAGACAGCAGCGAAGAAGGGTGTATATACCATACCATACCATAGCATCCTTACTTCTGCGCTGCTGCTGGCGGCAGTTCTGCCTTCAGAGCGGGGTTCCCAGCTTGCAGCCACCACTCTCCAGCTGCCCAGCTCTGAAGGCAGCGCCGCCGCCAGCAGCAGCGCAGAAGTAAAGGTAGCAGTACCGCAACACCTCCCCTTGTAACCCTCCCACAACTCCTGATTGTGTCAGGACCCTTACAACACCATGACATTTACGATTTTTAAAATCCTAGGATTGTGAAATTGACCAAAATGGACCATGAATTTGGTAGGGCCCTAGCTATGATGGTGTTGGCATCCACCTTTCTCTCCACCTTGTCTGTTCTGGCTGGTGTCGTTGAGCAACTTACTCAGTGCATGAAGAATAAAGCTAGGACTTGGACAGCTATCAGATGGCTGAGACTTAACACATCATCAGGTGACAAGTGGAATAATTTAATTATGATCACTGTCAGTAAGCCTTGCAGAAGAAAGATGGAGAGAAACCCAGGAAAGGGAGGGAGGAGTTCCAGGTGTTAAAGGGGAAGCACAGAAGAAACCATGAGGCTGGAGTGGGAGAAGGATATAAAATAATACCTAGGTAAGAAGCTTGGGCATAGCGAAGGGTGAGGAGGAGAATAGGAAGAGAAGAAATGTAAAGAGGCCAAGAAAGAATATTGCAAGGTTTCTTCCAATCAATCTGATGTTTCAGAATAGTGAGTTGCAACCCAAATGTAAGATCACCGCAATAAAACCCTCTGTTAAACACCTCTTTTCCCACAGTTGTTCTTTAGCAGTTTTTTTATTTCAAATGTAAAAAAATAGTTCTTTTGAGAAATAGGTAACGTTTGCTCTCATACAAGTTAAAAAACCCCAACAAGATACAGACTACTTTGAAATGCAAATCCTTCAGTAAAATGAACAATTAATATAATCTAGAGGACTATTTGCTGTACTTTGCACTCAAGACACATGCAAGTATGTATGTATGACAAAAAACTACTATAATAAACTTATAATAAACTTCCCATTACCTTTAATACAAGTGGATGTAAACTTTGGTAAGCAGTTGCTTCAGTAACTCTTCCCTCATGTAGTTTCCCATTGTTCTTTGTAATGTAGATACATTGAAACCATGAATTGGCAGTGAGACCGGCAGTGGCAGATCCACCCATACAGCATCACGCTGAGATCAAGTGGAGCTTTGTGCAGGTGTAAGGGTCTGTATTTATGGATCCAGTTGCAGGACTGGGGCCATAGTTCTTAACTTTTTCATTTACCATCTGGTAGTTCTGTGATCTTTAGGACTTTCCATTTTCTTGGACATGAATATTTTGTTTTGTGTTACTTTCTGTGGAGTTTTGTTTTAAACAGTTTGTGTTCTATTAAACACACCTCTTCATGGATGAGAGAGGCTGGTACCCTTAGGAGGAAGGAGAACAGGTTTAACACAAACTGGTAGCTCTGAGGAAAGTCTGATTCTTTATAGTGTGTCAGGTGCCCACATATCCTACAAAAAAAAAAAACAACACACACACACACAAAAAATAGGTTAAGTATGTCCTGAATCACAAATTTATCTTGTTGACATTCAAACATACTCGAGTTTTCCTCTAATTTGAGTGTTTTTTATTATATCATAAGTACCATTATTGATCTATGGCTTCAATCTATGGACCCACTCAGAGTCTCAATGGAGTATTTCTTTGCAAGACTGGGGCCACAAACAGATTAGGCTAGGTCTTAGTTCTAGAGACAGGTAAGAATGGTGTGCTGTCCATGTTTCCCAAAACCAGGTACACATTGGTCTTAACTAAAACCCTATATTTTCCATGATTCCGCCCTACAGATTGAGACAATTTGGCTGTCAAATCTAAGATGTCACTTAAGAAAATTATTCCTCTCCCTTCCCACCTCCCCCGCTTAAGAGGAGCAAAACCTTTTAAATGTGAACAGAATGTATCAGGTGCGGTCATGTTTTCCAGAGTCTGCAGACTGCCTGGAACAATAGCTCCAAGGGGTGTGACTTGCTCTTATTCATCATAACTGATGTAATTCTGAGCCTACTGATGACAATTTAAATGTCAGCATTATTAACTATTTCACTACTATTCATTTTTTAGCAGAAACATTCAGCTAGTGCACTTATTCCATTGGCCATAGCTGAGGTGGTTACTATAGAGGATACTGGACCAAGCTTTCTGCTGTCAAATGTTGCTGGAGTGGAGAACTGTGTTTCAGCCTCAAAAAAAGTCAAGCCATCTCTGTCCACACTGACTGGACCTTTACTGTACATTGCAGTTTACCTTTAAATAAATTTTCCTTAAAACACTTCTTCCTGGAATCAATATTTTATAATAGCTTACTACTATATGTATGGTTACTTAAAACAAATCTCCACTGATATTTTTAGCACTTCTTTTTGTTTTTAGGAAGTATTAGCCTCTTGTGTTTGAAATAGCAAGATTTTAAAATCAGGATTACATGGCATTTGAATTTTGGGAGGTTGGTACTTTATTCAAATTAATTTTACAGTGGTGCACAATTTTATTGTAATTCAGTGTTCAAGAATAAAAATATTTGAAAGGGAGAAACATACAAAGGACTAGAAAAGGTTGACAGTGATGATTAAAAAAAAATCCAAATTTGCATTTAGGAACTTGTAAGAGATCAAAACATCATGTTTATGCACATCAATGGAGCTGAAAGCTACTCAGGCATTTTTTATGTGGCTAACTATTGGAAACACAATGGCCCATGAAGTAACACTTCTTTTCAAAGTGTTCTGCTCTCTCAAAATATATTTTTCAACCAAAACTAATGATCTGATACAAACAGGTTAACGTGGCATTGCAGGGCTCCTATTTGATTTTAATGGGAGTGAGGGTTTTCATACAGGCATCAAATACACAGAATTTGCATTTTCTTTCTCAAAGGCATTTTTTCTTACTATCTACTCCAAGAATAGCTTAAAGGAGCGAAGATGTCTGGACCCTGTGCTTTTTAAATTCCCAGACAAAAAATTACATTAAAATGAAGCGTACGTATAAAAGAAATTAGAGTAAAATTCATTAAAGGGATCTTATAATTATCTTTAAAACTACGTGTTATAAACACAAGAAACTCACAGTTACGGTAAGCTTTAAAAGTCCAAACATTTTAACATATGGAAATTCAAAGCAACCTTAACTATGCTCTGTAGTGAGGCCATGAAATAGCCATATGCATAAAGCATTTCAGTGGTCCCAGATAAACTGATTTTTAAAGAAACATTTTTGGGGTTTGTTTTTAGCTCTATGGCATCTCCATTGCACAAAATCTCATAGCTGAGGGAATGAATGCTCTTTTCGCATTTTCAAAAGATTAAACAAATGGTCATATTTGTAACTACATTAACTACTTGCACTATAGATGATACAATGGGAAATCTAAAGGATAAGAATTTAAACTCAATTCTTGATTTCTGATGGCTATGACTATTTGCATTTCACATTCTGTTCTACTGTACTACATATGTAAATACATGCTTAAATACAAAATTTGCATGAAGAGAGATTGTTCATGCAAACATACATAAAAAACCACTTATTCAATGTGTATCAGATTTATGCATATGAGTAAAGAGGATTCTTCTCTCACCCTCTGTTAAAAAGTTTCTTGTTCAAACAAGAGAATGAACCTACAGAACAAAAGCTCTTGTGATATGATACTATGTTTACATTATTCCAACCCACTTCTGTCTTGGTGAATGCATAAAAGGCAAAGTGAAAAGGAAAAAAGGTAGATGAATAATAAGCAAGTACACTGAAAAGGCAACAAAGTGTGCACACACTTTAGACTCGGTCATTTTCAAAAACAGAATATTAAATAAATTAAACTTGAAATAATATAGCTGGTATTGTAGTGTTTGTTTTCTTAAATGTGATATTTTATAGTAAATAAAATCTTAAGGCTTGGGTATACAATATATTGGCATGAAATGCAATGAGACTGAATTCAGATATCCCAATCTTCCTTCTCACAAAAGACAGCAGAAACCCATTATTGCAGTGTGAATCCAAGATGATCTTCAATCTCAGTGTCCTTTCCTCACCCCCAACCTAATCCACTGGCTGAACAGTAGCTGGGTTTGCTTTTCATGGCATGACCCAGTGGCAGAACAGTAAACTGGCCTTAGGCCAGGCCACCTTGTCTAAAAAAAAAAAAAAAAAAAAAACAAGATTTTGGAGACTAGATAGACACACCATTTGAAATGTAAACTCCTCTTCCAGTCCCGCAAGAGGCAAATGCTACTGAACTCTTACATTCTCCTGAGTAGTCTTCTGCAGTCAGATGAAAGTTGGCCATCTTTTAATCCACTTAATGTCTGCCATGTTAATTTTATATTGTTCTAGTTTCTTAATCAAAATATTTTGTGATACTAAATCAAACGCCTTACAGAAGTCTAAGTATATTACATCAACACTATTATCTTTATCAACCATACTGTAATCCCATAAAAATATATATCATGTTAGTTTGACAGCATCTATTGCATACAACAGTATGACTTTTCCGACCCAAGACCTATATATATATATATATGGGCTGTCAAAGTGATTAAAAAAAATTTAATCGCGATTAAACGCGACAAATTAAAAAAAATTGTAGATTAATTGTCGTT